ACAGCAGCGGCGACAGCAGAAGCGCGATTTACTGACGCAAACCGCTTACTGCTCAAACCAAAGCAGCAATTATACTCAGATACGCGGCAGATGGACAGAAGCTGGGATTCGAAAAAAACAGACTGTTATGGCGAAAAGATCAAGAGAAACAGCTGAAGTGCAGAAATACTGCTGTACGGCAAGGTAACAAGGGGGAAATGCTGGGATAGCAGGCTGTGGCCAGGCTGGGGGCCAATGGGAACACATGCTGTGTTATGAGAGGAGAAGCAGAGTCACATCCTGTCCTCACAGTCATTCACTCAGAAATGACTTGTTTTTGCTTTAAAAACAATGAAAGAGCATCTATTGGCAGGGGGGTAAGAGTCATTCCAAAAGTGACAGCGGGGGGAAGGGGGAATGGGGGGCTTTGATTATACTGGATTTGGCATAATCCAATTTTATACCTAAAAGCAGATTTACGTTTGGTTCAGTTACAATGAATTTAAAAAGCTGAGAATGGGCTTTGTCTATTAAAGTCCTATGGAAGTAAAGCTGGGGTCAGAAAGAGTCCCGGAACTTTTTCAAACACTTGATTGTCATTAGTGGGATGAAATCATGCAGCCAAACCTGTATGATTTTACAATAATTTGAGTAATTGTTCCCTAATTTAACAGTTTCTTGCTCTAAATGTTACTCTGCTTAGGTGTGACATTTGTGCAGTTCTCTCTCACTGCTTTGCTGGACACTTTGAAAAAGGTTTTGCACTGAGATGAAATTCAAGCCAATCTATCTGTATTTCAGTCGAAATGCCAGCTTTGAAATCGAGGAAGATGAAAACAAAGACGGTGGACAGAAGAAGCTGAAATCCATTTTTTTTTGGTCAACTGCACAGAAGAGCGTTAATTTAAAATGCAGTCATTTCAAAAGGCCAGTGGCAGGTGGAGGGGGATGTGCCACGGTCCGTGCTCTGAGATGATATAATTCCTCCTTGCTGTCATGCAGCTAACAAATGACTGGAGTATCGATATTACACATGCACTGTGTTATATTGCAGTAGCTTATGAGCCCTGCATGCACACACGCATGTATACATTCATGCACACCCCCATGCATGTACCCATATATACATTCATGCACACACACATGCACACACTCACGCACACACTCATACACACAGTCATGCACACACCCATGCATACACTCATGCACACACCCATGCACACACTCATACACACAGTCATGCACACACCCATGCACACACTCATGCACACACCCATGCACACACTCATGCACACACTCATGCACACACTCATGCACACGCCCATGCACACGCCCATGCACACACTCATACACACACTCATGCACACGCTCATGCACACGCCCATGCACACACTCATGCACACACTCATGCACACACTCATGCACACACTCATGCATGGTCAGGCAGAAAGTATTCTGTTATTTTTCCAGATGCTGTGCCCTGTTTATTTGTATAATCATCTCTTCCTCAGACAACCATTGTTTGCTGGTGCACAGGGTTAAATCAAAACAAAAAAAAATTTGAAAAATATACAATGGTGAAATATATGTTGATTTTCAATCATTTCTCCAGTGCAATTGCTAAAACAAATTAGGAATATTTGCCTGTCTAGGAACCTGTTATGTGTGCCCACTGCTTGTATCTGAAAAGCAGGGTATGGATGCAGCTTTGGCTGGCATATACCTTGGATGATTTCTACTTATAATTATGAATTATTTTATAATTATAATGTTTCACTGAGCATCTGAATAAGCCAGACTGTCTATCTCTTTCTCTGAGTGCTATGTATGTGCATGTGTGTCAGACCATGTCAGTGTCTCCCGGCTGTTTTAATGAGATTGCTCAGGCAGACTAGCACTCACTAAATCCTTAATTAAAAAGCTTGCTTTTTGCTTCTTGTTCCATACAGACAGAAAAGGGGAGGGGGACAGATAGGATTTAGAAATATTAAAGATTAAAGGACGGGCGAGGGGAACAGGGACTTTAAAAGACGAGCAAGGGGAACGGAGCCCTTAAAGTACAGATGAGTGGAATGGGAACCTTAATGGACAGGCAAGTGGAACGGGGTCTTAAAGGATGGTCAAAGGGAAGGGGACCTTAAAGGACAGGCGAGGGGAACAGGAACCTTGCAGGACAGACAAGGGGAACGGGGAGCTTAAAGGATGCAGGAGGGGAACGGGGACCTTACAGGATGGACGAGGGGAACGGGGACCTTACAGGACAGGCAAGGGGAATGGGGAACTTAAAGGATGTACGAGGGGAACGGGGACCTTACAGGACAGGAAAGGAACGGGGAGCTTATAGGATGGACGAAGGGAATGGGGACCCTAAAGGGGCCAGGGGAATAGAGCCCTTAAAGGACGGTTGAGGGGAATAGGAGCCTTAAAGGATGGGCAAAGGGAAGGGGACCTTAAAGGACAGGTAAGGAGAACGGGAAACTTAAAGGATGTGCAAGGGGTATGGGGGGCTTAAAGGACAGGCAAGGGGAACAGTGCCTTAATGGAAAGGTAAAGAGAAGGGGACCTTACAGGCCGGGCGAGGGGAACAGGGACCTTAAAGGATGGGCGAGGGCAACAAGGACCTTAAAGGATGGGCGAGGGGAACAGGGATCTTAAAGGACGGGCGAGGGGAATGGGAACCTTAGAAAAGCAGTAGAATCACAATAGCAAAAAATATCTCCTGACATTGTGACACTAATGCTATAGACACACATTCAGAGAGCATCAGATGCATTATGACCAAATCAATACAGTGCACTGGCACTATGACCAAACCAATACAGTGCACTGGCACTATGACCAAACCAATACAGTTAACTAGCACTATGACCAAACCAATACAGTGCACTGGCATTATGACCAAACCACATATTGTGTGCAAACTCGTGAGCAGTACTTTGAGCCAATCCTCTTCTATGCTCACTTCAATGATAAATTTTACTTACTGAATGCCAGTGATATTTCAGACAACTAACTACTGTTCCAAGGGGGCTCCTCGATAATAACAAAATAATTTCTTCCTCCTTAGTATTTCCACTAAGAAAGCTAAACTCTGCTTATCACTCTGGCAGCCTGCAGTCCCAATCAGCAAATTATCTTGCACCTTTTATCAGTTTTTTGTTTTCATCTCAGACATGAAGATTTATGTGAGTTTGTAGTCACAGTAAACAGTGACTAATTATAGATGGACAACAGATTTTAAGGAAAACTGCCAGGGGAGCCAGGAAGCTAAATGACTAGCTAAAATGACAAAATCATTGGCAGTAACCGATTTCAGATACAGAACTTGTGCATACGGAGGGTGACAGTCCACCGATCAGCCATAACTGGCAGGTGAAGTTAATAACCCTGATTATCGTGTTAAAATGGCACACATCAAGGGTGACATTAGATACTAAGCAAGTGAACAGTCAGTTCTTAAACTTGATGGACTGAAAGCAGGAAAAATGGGTAAGCATTAGGATCTGAGCAACTTTAACAAAAGCCAAATTGGATGGCTAGACGACTGGGCATCTCCAAAATCTTGTGGGGTTCCCATTATGTAGTACCTACTCAAAATGGTCCAAGAAAGGTCAACCGGTGAACCGGTGATAAGGTCATGGGCCAAAGCTCATTGATACGCATGGGGTGCTGGGAACTTTAGGTCCAGGCATTCATGTGGACAGAGGTGGACATTTCTGGTCCAGAAAGTAAAAATCCAGACCAGGATTTTGTTTCAATTTTGTATCCACTTGAGTACTATATGACTGTGACTCTGGATGCTCAGCTGGTTGGATGAAACAAAATCCTGGTCTGGATTTTTACTTTCTGGACCTGAAATGTCTGCCTCTGCATGTGGATATTACTTTGACACGTACAATCTACCTAAACATTACTGCAGACCAAGTATGCCCCTTCATGGCGACGGTATTCCCTCATGGCAGTGGCCTCTATCAGCAGGACAGTGCGCCCTACCACAGTACAAAAATTGTTCAGGAATGGTTTGAAGAACATGAAAAAGAGATCAAGGTGTTGACTTAGCCTCCAAATTCCACAGATCTCAATCCGATCGAGCATCTCTGGGATGTGCTGGACAAACATTTGATCCATGGAGGCTCCACCTTGCAACTTACAGGACTTAAAGGATCTGCTGTGAACATCTTTGTGCCAGATACCACAGGACACCTCAGTCCATGCCTTGACAGGTCATGAGGAGGACCTACACAATATTATGATATTATGGCTGATCAGTGTATATATCTCATTCAGAGCTTTGTCCTCCGTCTCTCCTTACAGGAAAGCCTCTGCTGAACAGAGGCTTTACTGTGCCATTCGGGGCTTAACGAACTCTTAATGGACTATGGGAGAGCACTGACATTGTCCTGATTAACAGGCCCAGAGTGCTGTTGATACTCTCTAGGCCCATCTCTGTGTGCACGGCCACTTCTCTCCCATCCATCTCCATGGCGCATGTGTAATTTTCTGCTCTTAGGATCGAGTAGTGCTTGTATGCGATAATGACCTCTTACGACAGTCTGTCTTTTTGCGTCTCTTTTTCTTGTTGGCCCTGCCGTACTTTTTGGATGCTCTTTATCTACTAACCTCTGTGTCCATTATTCCCTCTTTATTTTGGTACAGTGAATAATACTAACAAATGATAGAACCTCTTCTGTGTATTAGCGCTACGCTGATGCTTCTACAGCCCCTTACTCATCCTCCTTCTCCTTTCATTTGAATTTGCTGCCTAATATCAGTCATTTTACATCGTTTTGGATGTCCCTCTCTTACCCATCCATTTGTTGTTTTTTTTCGGTGCTGCTTCCATCTTCTTTTTCCTGCTCATATTTTCATGTTTTCCTCCATGGTAGGGTCTCCCCTCATGGAACAGTCTTCTCCTCATGCACTACCTGCACCTTGTTTCTCCTGCTGATTGTTCCATGATCCTGGTCGCCTCTTCACCTCCTCCCCTCTTTTCTCTTGCCCTATTCTCCAACCGTCTGCAGGTTAACGGGAAGGAGCTGTCCCGGCTGTCTCAGGAGCGGCCCGCTGGGAGCCTACGTGCCATGCGGGACCCTCTCCTCATCCAGGTGGTACGCAGGGGGCCCAGGAGAAAAGGGAGCAGCGGGGGGCCGATGGTCACCACCGGGGCGGCGATGGTGAGCGACTGCACGGACAGCAGCACCCAGACCGACATCAGCTTCCAGCACATGCAGAGTGTGGGCAGAGCAGGTCACTCCCGCGCTGGGCCCCCACTGCCTCCTCCTTCTCCTCCACTCCATCCTGTCCTGGAGCCGTACCTGCTGAATGACCTGTACGTACGAATGCCAACATGAGTGTGCTGGTGTCAGCTTGGCCCTCCATCTGTAAGGGAGACAATACACTGGGCTACTTCTTGCACAGTGTTGCTGAGCAATATTTTACTATTTGAAAAATGTACAATTTGAAACTTCTATTTGAAAAACTGTGACCAGCAGTGGGCAACTTTTCACATTCATCCAGACATAGATGAGTTGCCCTTTGTCTCACCTGGCTGGCAACATTGCTCAAAAAATTGTCCTATTTTCAATATCTCTTTTCCTTTCAGTCCCCACCTACAGCAGGACTACTATGACCCCAATGACTACTTTGACAGCTCTCACCACGAGGTTGACAGACAGGATGAGTTTGAATATGAGGTTAGCTCAGTTCTCTCATTCGTATTCACATTGAGTGACTCCCTGTCATATGTTACGGTTACTCTCGTACCTCTCTCATTACCAGGAGGTAGAGCTGTACAAGTCCTGTCAACAGGACAAGCTGGGATTGACTGTGTGCTACCGCACTGACGATGAGGAGGATCTGGGCATATATGTTGGAGAGGTGAGAGTCCGGAGGAGCTCTTCCAGGCCTGTCTATACCAGCACTTGTAATGGTTTCCTTCTTCCTTGTTTGTACAGGTCAATCCCAATAGCATAGCTGCAAAGGACGGCCGTATCCGAGAAGGAGATCGAATACTGCAGGTATGGATTATAAAATTGAGCCATAGCCAGAGGTGGAGATTTCAGGTCCAGAGAGTACAAATCCAGACCAAGATTTTGTTTCAACCAACCAGTTGAGTATAAAGAGTCACAGTCACAGAGTATTGAAGTGGTTGGTTGAAGCAAAATCTTGGTCTGGATTTGTACTCTCTGGACCTGAAATCTCCACCTCTGGCCATACCTGCCAGGCAAGGGCCCTTCTGCCACATGCTGCAGGCCAGAGATTAGTAATAATCACAAACCTTTCCGTCAATGACATTGTTGAACTAAAAGACGTGAACCAGGTCTGGCACAGACAGGTAAGTAAGCTGCATGTTAGCAGAGATCTCTACAGTGCAGACAGAGAGGAGTAGTATGGCCATTGTGCTTAAATGCTTAAATGAACTTCTTAAAGTTACATTAACAAAATTAGGGAAAAACTATGGCGCAAAAAGGTACAGCCTACCTTTGTATCTAAATACAATTAAGGTCTAAGGTAACAAAGATTACAGAGGATTATGGTGCTGGTATCTGGGTTTTTTATTAATAGCGCTGAGAAATACTCCATGTGGGATTCAGCAGAGAGTCATCAGAACTGAGGAATACACACATTCTTCTGCTTTGCAAGGAGGCACACAGGGTTCTCAACTTTGGTCAGGTGTCTGGCGTGAGATTTTCAATTCCGGACAAATCTGCACAAGTATTTACATGTACGTAACAGTTTCACTGCCTTGTAAATAGTGTGTAGGGTTTGCAAACTACCCCAAAGCTTTTGATGTAGCTAATTGTAGGATAATGGAATAATATATATTTGCCGTAAGATTTGAGTGAACGTGACAGTCAGAAAGCGTGAGATTTGGCAACCCTGGGCACGACTTTACTGCAGAGTCCATCCATTTACACATATTCAGTACTTCAATCAAATAACTTAAAGTGTAATTATTGGCTACAGCTAAGATCTTTATGCAAGACTCAAACAGTGTTCTGCCATGTCTCTTGAGAGGAGAAAATTGGAACCATACTTATGTGAGAACAGTTAATAAGTAGATACATTTTTGAATTGAAAATTAATTGAATATAGTCATAATACAGGGGCAGCACGGTGGTGCAGTGAGTGACTGCTGTGTGAGTGACTGCAGTGTGACTGATTGCAGTGTGAGTGACTGCTGCGTGAGTGACTGCAGTGTGAGTGACTGCAGTGTGACTGATTGCAGTGTGAGTGACTGATTGCAGTGTGAGTGACTGCTGCGTGAGTGCACCCTAGTGCTGTACCTGTAGTTCTCGAGATCGGTCTTGGTCTCGACACCGGTCTTGAGACCAATTTTTTGTGGTCTCGGTCTTGTCTTGGTCTCGGACATAGCGGTCTCGATGGGATGGGGAAAAAAAGAGAAAAAAATCCAAATCCAAAAATCCTCACAGAACAGTATTATTCATTACACGCCTCAATTGAAATGCAACCAGTCAGATGCATCTACTTTTTTTTTTGAGAAAATTGTATACATTTTCTCAATGGACACAGTGCTTCACAGTCCACACACTTCATACACATCGCATGATAGCGAAGTCGGCAAAGAAACTTTGCCCTTATTGGCTGAAGATTTTAGTTCCATGCATGATGTTTGTATCCCAGGAAGTTCCAATGCGTTATCTGGTATTTCTCCCGAAAAGCACATAAAGCAGTGAGAACTGGTTTCAGTTCATTTACTGGTAAAATAAAGTTTAAATAAATTACATAAATGCTCTAAGAGTACACGTAAGTTATTGGTTTATTTATTGTTAGTTACTGTAATGTTGTGCTGCTTTATTTGTTTAATCGTCAGACATACCCATCAGAAAGACATACCAATGAGACATGCCGATCAGAAAGACAT